CCTGACCTTCTCCAAATTGGGATTGCACAATCCTTGGGACAGGCTTTTGATCCAAGGACGGGGTGCTCAGCACCTTGGCAGCATCTCAAATCCCGTTCCCAAAAGCACCCTGGCATGTTCAGGGTATAGATGTGCTGAGATGGGGGTTCCTGCCTGCTGGCAGGTGCTGTGCTCCCAATCCATGGCATTCCATGGTCCATCTCCAAATCCAAGGTAATTCCTGTTTTCTCGTGGTCAGATACTCCCTCGACTCCTTGGCTGTCATTTTTGTGAAGCTCCTCATGAGTGCTGGGAGGGAGGTGGCTCTGCTGTTACAGCTCCTGCCTGGACCAGAGCTCAATCCCTTCTCCCAGCCAAACTTCCCACCTGGATAAACTCCTTAGCATTGCTGCTGTTTTGGGATTATAGAACAGCTCTGGGTGGAAAATGCTTTTGAAGTTCCCTGTTGTGTCTGAAAACCTCATTGAGGACCTTTGAGTGCAGATTGGAATGAGGAGGAATTGGGATTCTGTATCAACTCCAGGGTGAAGGATTGTGCCTCTGGGATCTTGGGCTTCAGGATGAACAGCTGGAAAGAGCAGGAATGTGGCTGGCATTGGGAGGGAAGGATGACAGAGATGAAGCAACAGGCACCAGAGGAGTTCTGGGCATTGGGAGGTGAGGACCAAACTGGAGCTTCACACAGAAAAAGCTGAGGGAAGGGGTTTGTTATGGTGTGGAGGCTGCTCCAGAGGATTCCCACAGCCAGCTGGGAGTGCCAGGTTTGGGGAGGAAGGTGTGTGGTGGAGCTTGTGCCATCCCTGCCCTCTCCATCTCTGCTCCTCCCTCTCATGGTATTGATCACATCCCACGAGTTTGGCAGGCAGGGCTGTGGCTTGTCCTGCAGACAAGACACGGTGTCGGAGTTCTGTCATGTTGAAATGGGAATTGTTCCCTCGTTTGCTCCTTGCATTTTTATGAGGAGAAAGAAATGATGACAAAAACAATTCTTAAAATATGTTGAATGGGGTTTCTTTTCAATAAAGCAAAGCTACTCCCTGAGCTTCTTTCTGGGCTGGTGGAATATAAATTATCTTTTTTTTTTTTTTTTTTTTGCACCACGTGTAACCAGAGGGAAAGTTCTGGAGGACAATGGGGCTGATATTCAAGTAGCTGCTCCTCTGAACCACAGGCTGAACTTGAGAGCACCAGAAAAACAACAATATTGCTTGCAGAGAGTGCTGCTGCAGAGCCTGGGCTGGTTCTTAGGCTCCTCACACTGCTGATCTCCCAAAACTGCAAAGAAAGAGGGAATTTGACTGTAACAATCCTGTTAAACACTCGTGCAAGAGGGTGAGTTCATGTTTTTTTCTCTCAGGTGCTTTAAGACATTGAGCTCTGGGTTTCTCGATGGCATCTTTGCTGGACTTGTTTTGTCAGGAGGAACTGGGAGCCATTGGAGGCAGAAAATCTTTGGGGTTTTTTCACTTTTCACCCAAAAGGCCTCATACACCTGGACGTTTGGGTGTCTTTCCCTTCTGCAGGAAGAAGACACTTTTCCTTCCTACCAACTTAGCCTAAGGAAAAATCCACCCTTTGTGCATAATTATATGGGTTGGGTTATATTTTTCCACTTTTCTTCCTTTGAAGCTGTTTGACCATTGGAAATACATTCCCTTGGTGTCCAGAGGCTCTTCAAGAGACTTTTAACAAGGGCCTGGAATGACAAGACAAATAATATTTTATTTTATGGAAAATGATGATACCTTTCTTTACCCCTACTTGCGTGGAGTGTGGAATGTCCATCCTACAAATGGGTTTGAGTTATTTTGGGAGTTCTCACTGTGCTCCCTTGACATCCATCCTCCAGCAGCTTTGTCCAGTGTTTCCCAGGCAGGTTCTGCAGGGAAAACCAGCTCTGTGTGCCTTTGTTTTGCTTTATTTTGCCCAGAGAAACCGAGGCAGATCCGATTCCCTCTGGCGAGCGGTGCCTGTGCTATTGTTTCCCAGGTTATTTTGAGGAATGCCTTCCCCTGGGATTTTTCCTGTGTTGGCTTTTTGACCTTTTTGCATCCTATAGTGATTCTCTTAATTAAACCTACGGTGTTTCTAAAATTAAAGGTGATTTGAGGGCTTTAGGTTGGAGGAGGAGGGAAATGGGGATTGTTTAGGCTGTGCAGGGAAAATACCTGCTCCCAAAAAAGAAGCTGTGTGTGCTTGACTCCTGAAAAATTCTCTGGCTCTAGAAGTGCACAGGCTGAGAGAATCAGCTCTCCATGACTTTGAGGATGAGGAGTTTCAGTGAAATCATGGACTAGGTAAGAATTCCTTTCAGAATTGCCCAGAAGGTGGCACAGCCCCATGAGCCCAGGGTTGATGCAGAGGAAGGAAGGAGCCTTCAAGATGATTTTGTTCTTGGGCAAGGACACCTTCCACTAGCCCAGGTTGCTCCAAACCCCATCCAACCTGGCCTTTGAACACTTCCAGGGGCAGCCACAGCTTCTCTGTGCCAGGGCTTCACAGGGAGGAATTTCTTCCCAATGTATTACTGATATATCAGGGGTTAGTGAATGGAAAAAGCATCCAAGTGGTGCTGGCCACGATTCCCAGGCAGACACAGACAGGCCCTTCATCCCCTGAGCCTTGGCAGCTGCAGCCCTGGAACAACAGAGCCCTTGAGTCCCCGGAGAGGGACTTGGCCTTTGGGGACTCAGATGGCTGCAAGAGGCTTGGTCACCCTTTCCCTGCCCCTGACCTTCCCAGGGGTCTGAGCATTCCCTCCATCCCTGACCCCTGAGCCCCCCGTGCCAGTCACTGGAGGGTCAGTGCCGTTATTTGCATAATTCGAGGCACTGTGGAAGGTACACCCTGGGGATAGCCCCTCTCTCTGCTTGTGTCCATTCCCAGGCTGCTGTGTCACTGCTCCTGGAAAAAATGGTTTCCTGGGAGTTGTCCCAAAGCTGCAGCTGCTCTGTTCACAGTTAGTGTCACAAGCTGCTTTTATGAGTTTGTTTCCTAAGTTAAATATGTGATTCAGTCATTCACCCCCACTGTCATTTCTCTCTCTGACTAAAAATACCGAGTTTAATGGACAGATTACTTTTAGCCAAAATTTAGTGTTTTTCTGAGTGGTCAGTGACAAGTGACATCAGATTAAAACCTGTTCAGCCTGGAGGAGCAGCCTCTATTTCACCCTGTTCTGTAAAACTCAGTAATGATGCAGGCAACAACAGCATTCCAAAGCCATGCTGAGAATTTCATTGACACTTTAACCTGAATTATAATGCAATTTGTTCCTTCAATTAGTTCTGCAGTGTCTCAACGTGAGTTAAATAGGGGTTTAAAGAGAAATTCAGTTGTTCTCATCCCTGGCCCTGCTCTGGTGTGTCAGGAAAGGTGCTGGGGGTGCCTGCAGGAGCATCCTGCTCCAGTGTTCCACCCCTGGGGCGGTGCAGTGGGATGTGGGAGCTTTGGGAATGTGGAGCTTTGGGAATTGTTCTCACCCTTTACTCCTCGTTGTAAACGAGAGCCTTCAGTTGTCCATCAGACTCTCTTACCTGGCCTTCCTCTGGCTGATAAGTTTTATTCATCATTGCTTTTTAGAGATGTGTAAAGTGAGGCTTTGGGAAGCTGATCCCAGGTTATCCCACAGCGTTTTGGGGTCCTTTCAGCCATTCATCGTCGCAATGACAAACACCCAGGAATTTTGCAGACCTGCCTGCACGGGGGCAGAAGGAAGTAGCAACAGTTTGGGAATCTGAGAAACGCTTTGGGGGTTCTCCTTTGGGAACTAAAGGGTTTCCAAACATTTCCGTTTGTGAGACTGCACCCGAGCTTGTTGGAGTAAAGCGAAATGCAGATGTAAAATCCGAGTGAAGGCCTGGGATGCTGAGGTTGGGAGGGGAGCTGTGCTTGGGAAACACCTTGGGAATTCGAGGGGAGGGGAGAGCCCTGGGGCTTGTGAAAAGCCCGGGGCTTTTTGCGATTATTGCTCTTGATAGGGACTTTTATGAGCTGGAGCTTAACGAGCCCGGCAATTCAGGGGAGGTGTTTGTTCTTCTCTGCTCTTTCAAAGATGCTTTTGATGCCCCTGGTTTTGTTCTCAGAACAATGATGAGCTCGATAACCTTTGGGGCTGCTTTTTGAAGCCTCCTGGTTTTTGTCTTGGGCTGTGTTTTTGTTTTGCTGTGTGTTTACAGCCTAAATAACCACATTTGGTTTCTTCAGCAAGAAAACTCCATCCTGGTCAGAGCAGCCCTGGCTGTTGGATGCAGTAACACGCAGAAGGTGTTTGGTCCCTAATTGATCTTTGACTTCCCTTTTTTATGAAGTGGAAATAACAGGAAAATGCTGATGATGATGAGCTGCCACACCCGGGGTTAGCTGGGATTCTGGTTTCTAACCCCGAATTCCAATTTCTGGGTCGAGATGTTGATTTGTTAAAGGCAGCAGCATTTTTTTCCTGAATAAGAGGTCGCTACATAAAATTTTGCCCCTTGGCAAATCTCATGTTACAAATGTTGCTGTAGGTTTAAAGTGTTAATTTATGTGGTATATTGGGTTGGATTTAAAGGTCCCTGAAGACCTTTGAATCTCAGTAGCTAATGAGGCTTGCAGAGAAAAGCTTGAGAGAGGAAAAACTTACTGGCAGTGAGTAATGCTGGAGGAAGAGCTCCAGGATTGAGCAAGTTTTGCAGAGAAGAATTAGGAATTGTCGCGTCGGCCTTTGAGGTGTTAGATTATTTCCAGCCATGAATCTCCCTGCAGCCCTGGCCTGCAGTCCCCCATCCCTGGGAGAAGGATTCTCCGTGCCAAAACCCCTCAGGTGGAGTTTTCCCAAGTCCTAGTCCACTTCCAAGGGGACATCTCTCCTTGGGATGAGCTGAGATCCGTGAGCAGCCATCTCACATCCTGCTCTCCTGCTCATCCCTGATGGAAAGGATTTGCCATTTGGACTCCAATCTCTCAGCTTGCCTGAACCAGCTTTTCAAAGATGCTTAAACTTGTCCCTCTTTTTCCAGCTGGCCTTGCTGAACTTCTTTCACCCCGAGGAGAAGCTGCACGTTGGAGAAGAAGGGAGACGCGTCCGTCGGAATAAAAGGAGTAAAGGCAGCGAAGGACCCGACGGTGAGTCCTGCTCAGTTTCTCCCTCATTTTGGTTCCCTCCCAGATGAGGAATTCCAGGAGTGCTGAGTTCTGCAGCTGTAGGTCTTGTGTGAATTCGTGCTCTTTGGAATTCCGTCCTTGTCTCCTTGAACTGTGCTCGTTCAAGGCTTTAATTTGTACTTGTTTGCCTTCATTCGTTGTCCTGCACACCTGGCTTTGCTTAAAATCTTCAAGAAGCTTTTCACAATCCCACAAACAGCTGGAAGCAGCTGCATCCAAACTGGTGACTGCTCTAAGGGGAGTTTGAGTTGCTGTGGAGTCTCAGGTGGGGTCAAAGCCCGTGTGAAGGGAAGGCAAGGGTGTACAAAGCTTGGATTAAAAGAGCAGAAATGTTCCTGATTTCTTTGTGAGGAATTTGATTTCCAGTCCTGGCTTTCCATGATTGTGACACAAAGACAGGAGCATGAACTTCTGGAAGAGCTCCCGTGCTTCCCTACTGCAGGAAAGCACAGATCCCCTTTTATAGGAGAGGAGAAAGGACTGGGTACCAGGGAAAGCAGGGGCAGAACTGATGGAGCCGTGGTTCTGTGCCTGGCTAAGCCCAAGTCCTAACTCCATTATCACGGTTAGTTTTCCAGTCCAGCTCAGTGAGTTTCCCATCTCCCCTGAAACCTTTGCAGTTTCACAGTGGAGAAGCATTTCCCTGGGGCTTGGTGAAACTCCCTGGATTCCTCTTGCCCAGAATGCTGACAAGTCTGATGCATTTGGTACAGACTCCCTGAGTGATTCCAGCCCAGTGTGGGCCATCAGTTTTGGAGCTGGTGTCGCTCTGGTGCTCACATGGCTCAGGCAGCATCCCAGTCCTTTTCCCAGTCTCCTTGAAATCTATCCCAGTGCCTTCACCAGTTGCTTGTGTAGTAGCAAGTTCCCACTGGAGGCGAGCGGTGTCGATGGAGCGCTGCCGACAGATGTTGGGAGGGATTAACTTCATCCCTCAGGCTGCTTCTGCCTTGCCAGATGTGCAGAGAGCTGCTGAGGAGGGATAGAGAGGCTGAAGTTGGTGTCTAATAAGGATTTTGCCCACCACCCTTGTGCCCAGTGTTGTTCTTTCATGACTGGCATTTCTTTCCCAGATTTCCCTGATGTTCCCTGGGTGCTAAGAGTTGAGTCACTCCAGAAATGCAGAGCTCTTCCTCCACTTATCCAATTCTGGGAGGGAAGTGGAGCTGTGGAAGGGTCTGGAGCACCAGGAGGGGCTGAGGGAGCTGGGAAAGGGGCTCAGCCTGGAGAAAAGGGGGATCAGGGGGGACCTTGTGGCTCTGCACAACTCCCTGACAGGAGGGGACAGCCCCAGCTCGGGCTCTGCTCCCAGGGAACGGGGACAGGAGGAGAGGGAATTGCCTCAGGCTGGGCCAGGATGGGCATCAGCAGGAATTTCTTCCTGGAAAGGATGGTCAGGCATTGGAAGGGGTTGTCTGGAGAGGTTTGGACTCTCCATTCCTGGAGGTGTCCAAGGAACACCACCTGGATGTGGCACTCAGGGCTCTGGTGGGGATCAATCAGGTTGGACTCAGTGGTCTCAGAGGCCTTTTCCAGCATCACTGATCCTGTGATTCTTACCTGTGTCTTTTTGAAAATTAGGGATTTTGAGCCCACAGGTGGTGGAGATGGGAAAAACTGCCAGAGTGACAGGTTGTGTCCCTCTGGCTTTGGCAAGTGGTTGCCCCATGTTTGGCTCTGGTGGTTTTAGAGCTGCATTAACAAGTGGGAGCCATCAGGGCAGGGCTTGACCTTGTAACAACCATAAAATCGAGAAACAAACAGAGCCACGGCCTTGGGGAACTCAGGCTGTTTGTTTTAGATCTTTGTGAAGGAATCTTGCTGTCAGAGCAGGGCAATGAATCATTAAAGTAATAAATAAAATCATGTCATGGTCCTGATAACACCATTTTCTTCGTGAGTTTTGCAAAGGGAAAGTTGATCAAATCTTTGATCTCCAGAGAGCCTCCCGAAGATAAAAGTGGCTGAACTATAAATTCCCAGAAGGAAAGAGATGTGCTTTCCACTTGAGGCCTCGCTAATATTTGTCTGGAATTAATTTTATGAACTTTCAAGTGCTTTTACACATGCAAGGAAAGACCAAAGTGATCTGAGTGTGGAGGCTGGGGTTGGAGGGAGGCTGCTCTGACCCATCCCAGCTCTTCCAGTCCTGCCCATCCTGGTACCAGGACAGGCTTTGATGATTTATAAACATCAGGGAGATGTTTTAAACATCAAGGAGAACATGGTTCCTTACCCAAAAGCTTTTTCTTTTTGAGGATTTGTTTTCAAGCCCTTTGCTGTGAAAGAGGTGATTTTGGGACAGGGCAGAGCTGGTTCTGTGCAGCCAGGGGAGGGTGAGGTCTCCCAGAGCACGGAGCCACAGGGATGGGACATGGGAGCAGCAAAGCTGCTTTGGTGCCTCTTTGTTAAAAAGTCCAAGGAAAATTGTGTGCAAAGCCATCAGCTGGCTCCTGTCACTCCCCATCAGGACTCTGGAATTTCAGGGGCTCCTCCTTGGAGGATTCTGGTTTCAGCCCTCTGACCCCTGGCATGTTTGATGGTTGGGTTTGCTTAATTTTGGGTTGTGGCCCTGCACCAACAGTGCCCTAGGGCCACTTAAAGCATCCAAGGTCGTGTCCTGGCCAAGGTCCCTCTCCTTGTCCCTGCAGCCCTGGGGCATCCCACAGGATCACTGGGGGCTGGTGCTTGTCCCAGTCCTGGGATCATCATCTTGAAGCCACTTTCCAGTCCATGCCACCAGACCCAACTTTTGCTTGGCTTTAAAATCTGCCACCAATTTTTCCAGCTTCTCAAGGATGATCCCTGCCCACTCTGTTTTTCCTGCCTCTTTTCTCCTCAGTGTTCCCATCTCCACCTGTCACTTCATTCCCTTTAATTCTCTAAAACCTGCCCCTCTCCAATCCCTCTTCCCTATTTTCTCCTTTCCCCCTCCTTCCCTTTTGCCCTGGTGTATTTATGCTGCCGTGGAACTGCTGCTGCTCCCAGATGAACAAATCATTCTGGAGCTGCTAATTAGCAACAGTTGTGCTAAAAGGAACCATCAAGGATGTTAAATTAGTCCACTTTTAAATAAACTGGGTATGAAATGTTAGATCTCTATTCCCAGAGTGCCAGTAAAAATGCTGCTGGCTCTTTGCTAACAAAGCCAAAATCTGGGAGTAGCATGGTTGTAACTCCAGAGACAATTCCATGCTCTGGAGGTTATAAATAATGACAGAGCATTTACAAAGCAGATGTCAATAGGACTCTTTAAAAAACATTGTTTTAAACAAATAAAATAGTTTCTTTTTCTCCTACTTTCATCTCTGTTCCCAGTTAGATCCCTGCCGGGCTGCTTTCCTGGTTTCTGGTTTTTTTTGCATTTTGGGTTTGGAGTTGTTGGTTTGTTGTTTTTTTTTTTTTTTTTCCTTCCTAGATTTTTTTCATATTGAGCTTGGTGAGAAACATCAGGGATTGTTCTCCAGGCTTTGATTGGGAGCATGGCAGCTGGGAAGAGGCTGAGCAGATGGCTGGCCTTAAGCTGACAACAATTTGGTTCCTACTACTTTGGCAATTCTTCCTGCAGAGGAAAGTCCTGGAGGAGAACTCCAGCACTGCAAATGGCTTTGGGTTGAAAGGAAAATGAAATTCTGGGGGATTTAAAGCTCTTCCCCATCCCTGCTCCTACCTGGAGATTTGGAAGTGATGCTCCAGCTACGTGGGTCCAGTTTCACCCTCTTAGGATTTGCTTGGTTGTTTTAAGGTGATTTCAGTGTGGTTTTAAGATGGTTTTAGAGTGGGTTTTGAATAAGTTAAGAATGATCTTGGAGTGGTTTTAGGGTTGATTTTGGATGGTTTCTGGATGGTTTAGCAGATAGCTGATGCCAGAGCCTGGCTTTTAGGATGAGTTAAGGATAATTTCTGGATGATTTAGCAGGGAGCTGATGCCAGAGCCTGGCTTTTAGGATGAGTTTAGGATGTTTTTGGGACGATTTAGCAGGTAGCTGATGCCAGCCTGGCTTTTAGGGTGGGTTTAGAATGGATTTGGGATGTTTTTGGGATGGTTTAGCAGGCAGCTGATTCCAGCCTGGCTTTTAGAGTGGGGCTAGGATGGATTTGGGGTGTTTTTGGGATGGTTTAGAAGGTAGCTGATTCCAGCCTGGCTTTTAGGGTGGGTTTAGGATAGATTTGGGATGTTTTGGGGATGGTTTAGAAGGTAGCCTGGCTGGGGGCGCCTGGCTGCCCCATGGCAGCCCTCAGTCCCACAGGTGCCTGCCCCAGCCATTCTCTTTTCCCACCCAGCAGCACTGACGATGCAATGGGATTTTTTTTTCCACGGTTTTTTTTTAATATCCAGCTCACAATAGTAACTTTTCCTGCCGGCTTCCTCTCCTGTGGAAAGGGCAGGTTCGTCCCTCTGCCTCCAGAACAATGGGTGCCTTTGTGTCAGCCCCGTGCAATTCCCAAAGCCCCGGCATTCCCAGAAACACAGATGGATGCAGGGTGATAGAGCCTTATTGTGCTCTGAAACCATGGTGATGAGCACGCAGTAAATACTGGACATTTCCTGGATCCTGGAGCACGGGAGACTCTCCCAGAAGGAAAGGCTCACCACAAAGTGCTTGTTCTTACTGATTCCCCTTAGAATTTCTCTGTGATTTCCCTCTAAATAGCAGAAATCAGGAATAATGTATGTTTTAATCTTTGGGGATAAACTCATCCCTTTGCTGGGATGTTACTGTCAGTATTTGTTATTACTGTGATGAAACTAAGGCTGCTGCTTATTTATATATCCCTATCTCCGTGTTTTTCCCAGGTTTATGATAACGGGGATCTGTTTAAGGTCTTGTCCCTAAAGCCCAGAGTGGTGTTTAGGTTCCAGCCCTGGCACAGGTTGCTCAGAGAAACTGTGGATGTTCCTGGAAGTGTCCAAGGTCAGGGTGAACCAGCCTGGGGTAGTGGAAGTTGTCCCTGCCCAT